ATACCGTCTCGTAGTCCCAAAATAAAAGTGCAAGGAGATCTCCTGAGAAACCGCCTTGTAGTCTCAAAAGTAAATATGTAGGGAGAACTCCCGAAGAACCACCTCGTGGTCTCAAAAGTAAATATGCAGGGAGAACTCATGAGGAACTACCTCGTAGTCTCAAGTAAATGTGCAGGGGGATCTTCCGGGATACCGTCCCGTAGTCCCAAAATAAATACGCAACTCAAACAAATGAATATAACAGTTACAACAAGAAACCTATAATTTAGACTATGTACAAGTCAAGAAAGAAGCAAGACTTACTAAACATGTTGCAAAGAGTTCAAATAGGCAATTCGGACACGTAGACATGCTATTCTAGGCTAAGAGGATAACTACACATGCTAGTATACTTAGATAAGGTGAAACATGCTATTACTCAAAAAAATCAAATAAGGTTTTTTCACGAATAGCCCATGTACGCACTCATCACCTCATGTACACGAAGCTCACATATCATAACAACACCAAATCCTAAGGGGATTGCCTCCATGCAAGGTTAGGCAATCCACTTACCTCGAACCAAGCTCAATCAATCCGTAACAATGCTCTTTCCATGAAAATCTGACTCTGAATGTCCCAAATCTAGCCAAAATCAATTACATATCATAAATATAACTACAAGGAACTAATCTAGCTACTATAATCAAAGCTAAAGCAAGAAATGAGAAAATCGCCCTAAAACGTCTCCCCGGGCTCACATCTCAAAATCCGTTATACGTCACAAAATATGAACACCCATCGATTTACGAGTTCACTCGTACAAAAATCATCCAAATCCGATGTCAAAATCCCGATCAAAGACCAAAATCTTAGTTGCAGAATTTCTACCCCTTTTCCCAAATTTTTCAACCAAATTTCTTAATTAGATGATGAAATCAACCATAGATTAGTGGAATATTACCATAAAGGAGTTAAGAATCGTTACCCACAAGCTTCTTCTGAAAATCCCTCGAAATATCGCCTTAATCTGAGCTCTCTAGGTCCAATGATGGAGAATAAAATAAAACGCTCGCACTTAGACCTTTTTCTGCCAGTGATCGTGCTTCTGCGATCAAGGGGTCACACCTGCGGATCCATGTCCGCTTCTGCGGTCCTTTACCTCTCTTGCGATCACTCTATCGCATTTGCGGGAATCGCAGATGCGGAATTCACCTTGCACCTGCGACCCCTGACACTCCTCCATTTTTCCGCGTTTGCGCTTGACTCTCCGCACGTGCGATCCTTCACCTACGGTCTCCCCACCGTAGGTGCGAAAATACCAGATGCTTAAAGACTTCAACAACAACAAAAATCCAGCTTTTGATCCGTTAAGCACCCTAAACTCACCCGAGGCTCCCGGGACCTCAACCAATTCTAAAACACCATACGAACTTAGTCGAGCCCTCAAGAAACGCTAAAATCACGAATCATCCTCCGATTCAAACTAAAAGAACTTGAAACTTCCAAGTTCGACAACCAATGCCGAAACATAACAAACCACGTCCGATTGACCGCAAAATTTGCACACAAGTCATATTCAACTTTACGGACCTACTCCAACTTTCGGAATCAGAATTCGACCCCGATATAAAAATTTCCACTATCGGTCAAAATCTCCAAACTTCGACTTCCGCTATTTCAAGTCTAAATGATCTACAGACCTCCAAAACATAATTCGGACACGCCCCCAAGTCTAAAATCACATAACGGAGCTAACGGAACTGACAGAACTCCATTCCGGAGTTGTCTTCATACAGTTTTGACTACGGTCCAAATCCTGAGGCTTAAACCTCTATTTAGAGACTAAGTATCCCAAAACACTCCAAAAATCAAAACGAAACCTCCTCGTAAGTCACAATAGCAAAAATAGATATGGAAGAAGCCGTTAATTGGGGATTGGTGGTATAAATCTCAAAACGACCGGCCGAGTCATTATAGTTGTGAAATGAAATGTGGGTACGAGGTGCCGTGAGTAAATGATGATATTATTATTGGCACGTGAGTTGTCCATGCGGATGTGATAGAGATATGGGCATGAGATGCTGTGAGAATCTGAAAGTGGTCCGAGACCCATATTTTATGATTATGAGATGAGTTATCATGGAGTGACTTTGTTGTGGAAAAACTTGTATTTGAAAAGCTTGTTTAATTGATTGTACTTGTGTTCCTTATTTGGTTGAGAAATATCTATGTTGTTCTTATTGTCTTGATGTTATTATTCTTGGTTGATTCTTGTTATCATCGCTACTATTGTTTTCCCATTATTATCGTTATACTGATATACTGTACATGTTATTTGATTAGTGAGTGTCTTGACTGTACCCCGTCACTTCTCCATCGAGGTTAGTCTTGATACTAATAGGTACCGAGTGTGGTGTACTTATACTAGACTTCTGTATATTTTGCTGCAGGGCCAGGTATTGGAGATATCGGACTTGGGAAGAGTTAGTTTGTTGATCGCAAGGATTCAAGGTAGAGATGCTTGTTAGTCATAGTCCCTTGGAGTCTTCCATTTTATTGAACTGTTAATTATTATTCGAACATTATTGTATAGTCCATCTTTCAGATCAACTCATGTATTCAATTAGATTTCGTGACTTTACATTATATGTCTTAGGAGGTTGTTATAATTATTTTCGCTTTTGGTTTCGATACTTGTATTAAATTATAGTTTCAAAATAATGGCTTCAATTGTTATTGTAATCGGCTTACTTAGTTTTAGAGACTAAGTGCCATTACGATACCTATGATGGGATTTTGGGTCGTGACAACTGAATTCAGCTACTATGCCAATGTAATAACATTCATTTTCATTATTTAAACAAATGTTGCACTTATTTTAAGATAAATTGCTATTTTACAATAATTTATTTTTCTTCTATATATGTTTTACTGATAGAAAACACAAGCAACACTCTTATCATCTTATCTTGATGTTGTTACCACTTGTTGTGTCTGCTTTGTTTTCATTTTTCCTTTGAGCTGAGGGTCTATCGGAAACAATCTCTCTACCTTCACAAGGTAGGGCTAAAGTCTGCGTACACCTTATCCTACCCTAGGGTTGTTAATGGTTCAGTTCAGACGGTTATTTTCTAAAATTTGTACCATACCAATTTTTCGGTTATTCTATTATGCATAACCAAAATTAGACTTTTCGAAACAGTCCCAATCATGTCAGTTTCTTTTCGGTATCGGTACGTTGCGGTTAATTTTCGGTAATTTTTTTAAATGTCATGTAAAAGTCACTAGTAGAAGTAGAATGCAATAACATACATACTTTTATAGGAGTTAGCAAACTCTCTAGATATTTTTACTCTTTAAAGGGTGATGAATTAAAAACATATTAAATATGGCAAGAGTATAGATCCATCAACTATTCTACAGGAGTGTAAAAGAAACTAAACAAAGATATTAACTGAGTGAAAAGATATTAACGAAGCTGGAACTAAAAAATAAAGTCTATAGAAGATTAAATATTCAAAAAGATAAATCTAAATCGTATGAAAGGAAACATATTCAATACATTGTAGTTTGCTACTAATCGCTAGAATAGCTTGTGTCTTGCTAGTGAATATGTTGGAAATAATTTAATTTCAATAGGAGTAGCATTATAGTTTCAAGAAAATAAGATACAAAGGGTAACAACTACACAGGGGTGACTATATCACCTAGCAAGAAGCAATCTCTAGTCATTCAAAATATGATTGTACCGTCAACAACAATTGGGATTTTGAATTGTTTCGACACTTTAACAAATGATGATGAGCAAGCTATAAATGGGTCAGACAATGAGGAGCAACAGATTGATGATGAGATAAAACAAATCATGGATACAGAAGGCACTGCAGCGAGTGAAAATAAGCAAAAAATTGCAAAGGGCATAGGTTCACGACTTGAGATCGCATCTGTTAACGATTGCACTTGTGAGGCAAATCAAGAACATGCTGCAGTTACTCCTACAATGCAAATTTCCAATTAGGAGCTGGCTAATATGGTAATGGATGCACCTGCAGCTATGATAATGAACACAACTACAAAGATTAATGCACCTCTAGTCACGCTGAATACTTCAGTCTTTGAGATACCATCCCAATCGATGGAGTGTTTTGGTGAACATGCTGATGATTCTGGACTACAGCTAATCTCAACGGGCAACAACCAAAGTCAAATGCAGGTATGATCTCACTCTTTCAAGCATTAACAAATGATATAACAGGCTGTAAGGAGCAATAAGGAGAGACGAGTGCACTGACAGCTAATGAAAAGATTTGGGCTGACCAAGTTGAGGAGGAGGAACACGATTCTGCAGAAATGTATTTAGGTACTAACGAATATGCAGCAGCACTGTTACCTGCCACCCCACGATCAAAGGAAGCATCAGAAAAGGTAAAAAAAGAGCAGGTTTCTATCTCAACATCAACTTCTCCAGAGAGGAGAGGTTTGAGTCCAAACGCTGTTGTATTTGTACCTTCGGGACAACAACATAAGACAAATAATTCAGCAGATTCAAAGGAGATCCAAATTTCATCCTCGAACATGGCAGCAACTACTGGAATTAGCACTTCAATAACTGCAACATACAATTTGACACCAACAAATATAATTAACGCTCTTTTTTCACATGATATGGATACATTGAGAGGTCTTGATAATCAGAGGAAAGATCAAATAGCACTGTCGAATGAGTACAGACATATTGACGATTTTGGGATGCATATGGGTCAAGATTTTTATGAAGAAGGAGAACATGATGCACTACTGGATGCCACCTTCAACATTATAGCTAGGGAGGGAGATCTTTCACCAAGACATGTGCGAAGCGGATCCAACAAATACAAGAAGAAGGCACCAGACAGGCAACATAGTTGGGACGACAAAGCAACACAGGAGATTGTCATTAGGAAACCTCCAATGAGAAATGCAAAGCAAAAGGCAGTTGTACCTACGACCTCTAAAAGATCAAATAGGTCGAAGAGAAAATGATAAAGTTTGAAGAATTTTTGAAGACGGTGGAAGAGGAAGCCAATGAGCTACAAATTGCAGAGTTTACAAGGTTGAAGAAAGAGGGGCAAGACTCAATTTTTTACATTATTTTACTTTATCACTTTTTAAGTATCATCAATTGTAATATCATCATAGAGTATGTTATAAACTCTGTGATGATCATGCATTACCTAGTTCTTTCCAGTTCTTTTTTTCTTCATGCTTGTTAGTAGATGAGGTTTATTATGCCTCAATAGGATCTGTAAGGTAAGGTCTAGCACAGTATGTATGTGCTTATATGCTATGCCTTTGGGAAGACCCAAGCGGCTGTGAGGTTATATGCCCTCGTGAGACTTGCCGGCAGCTACACCATGATCATCTACATAAGGCTGCCATCTTAAGGCAATGAAGGCGCAGAAGAGTGATTATATAGACAAGGCATAAAGGCAACACTACTATAGCTTTTGCCCCCCTTACTTGTACCCTCCCGTTGTGGTTTTTCTTTTCTTTTGTTATTAATAAAATAGCTATTAGGCAACTCGCCTAGTAGTATATTTGCCAAAAAAAATATATATATATTTTCACATGTAAATTTATTCGGTACGGTTCGGTATTTTTTCGGTTTATTTTTATAAAATAAAAAGCCTACCCTAATTATCGGTCCAGAAATAGATTTATATAAAAAACTACGATTTTATTAAAAGAAACCTAGAAATTGGTTCGGTACGGTATGATTCGGTCGGTTTAGTCGGTTTTTAAATATCTATTGAGACCCCTATCCTACCCAGACCTCACTTTGCGAGATAACACTGAATTTATTATTGTCTCTTGTAATAGAAAATACATGCAACACATGTAACTAAAACTTGACCACTTGTCTGAGAAAAATATTTCTTTTTAAATGCATGATATAGATATGTGGTGGATAAAGGTTTGTATTACTAGATAGCTTTTCACTCAAAAGTTTTATAAATTATTACTATTATTTATAAATCACTTTATATTATTATCAGTCTTTAATATATGTTCTTTTGAGATTTTTAAAAATAATTCCATTCGGATAATGTTTGTAGAAAATGAAAATTAAAAACAAAGGAAGAAAAGAAATATGAAGATATTATTTTGTAAATATTTACATCGTTTATGAGAAATTGGATAGTTGAACTTTATTTTTTGATTTTAATGATTATAGACGGAAGAGAGAAGTTTATCAGGCATATAATTGAAGCCACCGATCCTCAGAAGAAATCAGTCACTTGGAAAGTAATTGAAGGAGATTTATTAGAATTGTATAATTCCTTCACTATTATCACATCTATTGAAGAGCAATGGACTACATGGACATTTGTGTACAAGAAGAAAACTGGAGATACCCCTGAGCCCCTAGCTGTTATGGGTGTAGTCCTTAAAATGACCAAACATGTAGAGGGCCACCTTCTCAGGAAATAGAAGAGATATATATATATNCTAGGTAGCTAGCGTGTGAAATAAATTATGTTATGTGATGTATGCCAGTCTCCTTCAACGGATGTATTGTCAGTGATTAGTATATGTAGGATATTGTGAAATTTTCGAGTCTTTCCATGTTGAAGGAATTTTATATATGAATGGTTGAATTTGTTAGACAAATAATATGTACAATAGAATTTAGCTCGAGGTGTGAATACATTTTCTTTAAGAATATTTTTCCTACACAGTGAATAAGATTGTGATGATCTGAGAGGTCATCTTATGTTTTAGAACTTAATTCTGTAGTTTGAAGCCTCAAATACATAATTTTAGCCCTGCTCGGTTTGCCTGCGCAGTCCAAGTATTTTTCCGGAAAGCTTTTATGTTAAAAACAGATAAAAATATGATTTTCTTGCTTTATAACCCATTTGAGTTGACTTTAGTCAATGTTTTGAGAAAACGGACTCTGATCCGTATTTTGACGGTCTCGATGGGTCCGTATCGTGATTTGGGGCTTGGACGTACGTCCAGAATCGAATTTGGAAGTCCCTAGCTCGAGTTATCGCATTTTGTTGAAATTTGAAAATTTAAAGGCTTAATGAATCTAAAGGTTTGATCGATGTTTGAAATTGTTGATATCGGGTCCATAGTTTGGTTCATTTATATATTTATGACTTGTATATTAAATTTGGTGAGAAACGGAGTTGGTTTGACGTGATTCAGACATCCGGTTATTAATATAGCAATTTTAATTTTTTCTTGAAAGTTTCCTTTGATTTGGTGTCCGATTAGTAGTTCTAGGCATTATTTTGGTGATTTCATCGCGCGAGCAAGTTCATATGATGCTTTTAGATTATTGTCCATATTTGGTTTAGAGCCCCGGGTGGTTTAGGCTTAGAAAAACATAGCTGGTGCATCAGGTCTGCAGATCTCGCATTTGCGAGAAACTTGGTCGCAAATGCAAGCCTCGCAAATGCGAAGTCAGGCTGGCATTTGCGAAGAGGGAGGTGGCTGGGTCAGCTTCACTTTTGCGAAGAGAAGCTCGCATATGCGATGGGGGCAAGGTTTGCATTTGCGGGAATATTGTCGCATTTGCGACGGGAATCAGATCAAGGCAGACTCACATTTGCGAGTCAGAAGTTCGCTTTTGCGAAGGACCTTGGCTCGCATTTGCGAGATATGCATTGCATTTGCGAAGATAGCAGGCTTAGATATTCTTCGCATTTGTGAACTTCGTGTCGCAATTGCGATAACTGCGGTTGGGTAAAAGAAGGGAAAAACAGGATTTTTGTTCATTCTTCAAATTTTCAAAACTAGAAAACCCTAGAGGCAATTTTTCAAAGAACTCTTCTCCCCCAATCCATTGGCAAGTGATTCTAACCTATTTTATTTCAATCTTTCATTACATTTCATAAGCTTTCAAATTAAAATCTAGTGTTTACATGGTGGAAAATGGGGGTTTGGGTAGAATTAGGGATTTTTATAAAATTAGGGTGAACGGGTACTCGGGTTTTGGTCCGAATTTCGGGTTTGGACCAAGCGGGCCCGGGATTGACTTTTATTGACTTTTTCAATAATTACCTAAATTGAATCTTTTGCAATCGTGGGTAATTCCTAAGGCTTCATTTGAATCGATTGATTTGTAATTTGCTAGATTTTATTGGTTCGGAGGCTTGTTTGAGAGGCAAAGATGTGATTTAGCTTTGAGTAGACTTTTGGAGCGGGGTAAGTGTCTTGCTTAACTTTGTTGAGGGATTTTTTTCTACTATATGACATTGTTTTCTACATGCGAGGGTGGTACATATATGAGGTGACGAGCATATATACATGTGCTAGGGTTAACCATGCTCGGGGGGTAAATTATGTTATAAATTGTGTCTTGTAGAATCACGTGACCTTCTTGCTTCATGCCTTACTTGGCTCCTAGATACTAAGAACATAGTATTAAATGTTAGAAACTAAGACTTAGCTTATTATAACGTGTTGAAATTCAATGGAATTCTGAGAATACATTGGTGTGTTTAATTTGGTCATCAATATGCATAATCATTAATACAGTGCTACGACCGATATTCGTGAGATACTAGATTTTATACTTGTGTTGTACATCGTTTGTGAGATTTGTTGGAATACTTGAATAAAAAGGTTCTTGCGGGTTTATTGAACTATTGTTGTCTTGGAAAGTGGTGATTGCGATTCATTTGGAATATTCGTTTAAACACTCTCCTTGACATTGTTTATGCTTCCTGCCTTGTTTGTCATTGATATACATATGCTTGGTAAGGAAGAGTGTAAAGCATAAAGGGTGATCCTGTGCCTTTGTTTATACATTATCATGTGAGGCAGAGTGTAAAACACGAAGGGTGATGTCACGCCATGTTATTCAGAGTAAAAGCTCGAAGGGTGATGTCGTGCCATATTATTGAGAGTAAAAGCACGAAGGGTGATGACGAGCGATATCATTTGTGAGTAAAATCACGAAGGGTGATGTCGTGCCATGTTATGTGAATAAAAGTACGAAGGGTGATGCCGTATCATTGCATTTATATTATCATGCTTTTGTGTTAATGCGAGTTCATGGCACGAAGGGTGTTTCCGTGCAATGAAGATGACGGACATGCATTATGTTGTGGTATCCTTTTCTTGCAGATATCTTCATGTCCTTACCTTGAATTCTCATTGTCGTACTTACAGTTCTTATGTGACTTGTCATTAAAGCCATGTTCTTGTTCTTTATCTTACTTGTTATTGTGACACGCATGCCTTCTACTTGCTTAACTTGTAAATATCATGTCTACTTCCTGCTGTTATAACTGCATCCATGACATATCTGTTTTGTTGCACTTAGGTACAAGTCTTCTTCCATATTAGTCATTCATGTCTCTACTTGTTAACTTATAAAGATCATGTGTCCCCTTACTTATTTGCTATATCTATTTTCATGCCTCCACCATGCTAGTTAGTTGAGGTTACATTCTTTTTCCTAATTGTTATCATTACCTTTATGCTTTCCGCCTAGTCTGTTACTAATGTCCTTATGTACATTCTCGTTCATTATTACTACTTGCGTATTTCCTACTTTGTCATTTATGTTATCGGTATTTCTTCCCTTCAATTGGTACTGTTTTATGCATATTTGGTGAGGATGAGTTAAATGCACGAAGGGTGTTGCCGTGCCATTGAATTTGATGTCTTGAGTGTTTCTCTCACACTATGAAAGTTTTGAGGTGATTATTGTGGTTCATTGGGTTTTGCTCTAAGGAATGCATTGGTCAAGATATTGGAGATTGTTGGATTGTGATCTCTTCTTGTACTCTGTTATTGCTTTATACATTCGTTCCTATGCTCTATTATGTTATATTGTAGTATAGTTCTATTGTTAGCTACATTGCAAATTTTATCAGTGAGCATCTTATAACTAAAAAGCCTCGCCACAACTTCGACGAGGTTAGACAAAATACTTACTGGGTACATGGGGTCGGTTATACTCATACAACACTTCTGCATCTTGCGTACAGAGTTTTGGAGAGGAGATGCTAGTGATGTCGGGCGCTGACCCTGAAGATGTTTGAGCATTCCTGTCACGACCAAAGTTTTCCTCCGTGTGACGTCGTGATGGCACCTAGTCTCTACAACTAGGTAAGCCTAACATTTTTGCGGAATAATGAAATAAAAATATAAATTCAACCAACTATTCAAAATACACAACAAATTCCAAAACCCAGAACATCGTGAATCACAAACTAGAAGAGGAAAAATCTAGTATCTCTATACATAAAAGTCTATCAAAAGAAAGTACAGAAGATAATGGACATTGGGAAGCGTAGAAGTGGACTCCAAGGTCTGCGTACGCGACAGATATACCTTGAAGTCTCCAAAGCTATCCCGACTCACTGATAGTGTGGCTGATAATGAGCAGCTGGATCTGCACACGATAAACATGTGCAGAAGAGTACCATGAGTACACCACAATCGGTACCCAGTAAGTGCCAAGCTTAACCTCGGTCGAGTAGTGATGAGGTCAGGTTAGGGCCCTACTGATAAATATATAATAAAATAATATAGAGTGTAATAGCACAATAAAAATAAAGGCAAAAATTTAACAACAATGAAATCATAGAAGATAACAGCTCAGTAGACAGAAGCACAACATGGGATCTCCTGAGATACCGTCTCGTAGTCCCAAATGTAAATGTGCAGGAGGATCTCCTGAAATACCGTTCCGTAGTCCCAATGTAAATATGTAGGACAGTGGGATCTCCCGAAATACCGTTCCGTAGTCCCAAAGTAAATATGCAGTACATGGGGATCTCCCAGAATAATGTTCCGTAGTCCCAAAGTAAATATGCAATACAGGGGGATTTCCCAGAATAACGTTCCGTAGTCCCAAAGTAAATATGCAGTACATGGGGATCTCCCAGAATAATGTTCCGTAGTCCCAAAGTAAATATGCAATACAGGGGGATTTCCCAGAATAACGTTCCGTAGTCCCAAAGTAAATATGTTGTACAGAGAGAATCTCCGGGAACACCGTTCCGTAGTCCCAAAGTAAATATGCAGTGCAAACAATAGAAATGCAACTATATCACGAAATCTTACGATTTAGACTAAGTACTAGTCAAAGCAGAAGCATGAAATTCATTAAGCATGCTGCACAGAGTTCACATAAGTAATTAAGACACGTAGACATGTTGTATTAGACTAAACAGGATAGCTACACATATTGGAATAACTCAATTAAGAATGAAAATAGATTTAATACTTATTAAAATGGTATAACTCAAAATAAAAGAAAAACAGGTTGTTGCTCAATAAGAAAAATCGGGTTTTTCCACAATAGCACATGTACGTACTCATCACCTCGCGTACACTACGCTCACATATCACAATAGGTCCAAATCTTAAGGGGATTTCCCCCACACAAAGTTAGGCAGGCCACTTACATCGAACCAAGCTCAAATCAATCCATCACAATGCTCTTTCCGCGAATATCCGACTCT